AGAATGTGTGACTGGAAACACAGTGGCATATCTGACACATAGTAGGTATTTGAATCCTCCATCATTTCTAAGATCACTCATTTTCTCATTTCTCCCTTCTCCTTTTAGTTCAGATTTTATCACCTTAGTCCCTTCCCTAAATATAGCTTAAAATAAGGTGACACAACAAAATGACAAAAGTCTAGATGGTCTGGTTTAAATCCTGGATTTTTTGCCACCAACTTATTGTGTGGCACTGGACAAGCTTTATTTAACCTTTATTTAACCTTTCTGGGCCTCAGCTTCCAAAAAAAGGTGAATATTACAAATAATTCCTACATATAGGGTTGCGATTATGAGGATTAAGTGAGTTAATATTTGCTAAGCACTTGGAATAGTACTTGTCATAGTGTGAGCTCTACAGTTGTGCTTGTTAATAATAAACACAAATTCCAAACATCTTACTTACTCAACTTTCTGTGGTAACTTAGAGATATGTATTTGGTGAAATAAATAGTTGTGTTTCAAGGGAAACAGAAAAATATTTTTAAGTGATTGTCCATATAGCTGACTTAGATATTTCACCAGTCAGTATCTCCAGTTTTCTATACAACAGCCTGGGCTAGTCCAGTGGCACGTTAGAAACTAACAGAGCTTGTGTTTTGAGCCCTTTACCTCGGTGCCCCTCATCCCCCACCAATCCCCATCTCTTTGCACATAAACTTTCATCTGTCCTCCATCTTAAGAAAGTCTCTGATCTCCAACTTAGATTTAAAACAGAGGTACTATTTACCTAAAAAAGACAATATTTTAGGAGTGGTTTTGTTTTGTTTTGTTTTTCTGTCCTCTCCATGTCCCCCCAGCCTTGGACGAATCTAGCATATAATGGCTCTAACATTTAACACCTGTTGGATTCTAGGAGCCTCAATTTTCCTACCTGGAAGGGGCATCTGAGGGCAAGGCTCCTGTCCTGGGATTGCTGAGAGAACCATTACCAGCTGTGTCTCAGGTATAGTATGAACTGCTGCTCAGGCAGCCTCATTACATCACATCATCCTGAGTTCATGGCAGTGATTGGTTCAAGGAGGGCTCTGGTCACACTCATCACAGTCAAGGGCAGTTTCTAGATCTCTAAAAAGAAAATATTTAGGGACAAGAAGGACAGACATCCATGAGTTTGAAATTCTCAACTCTTCCATAAGCCACCGTGTAGTTCTTAAGAGATACATGCAGGGAAAATACCCTGCTTATTACTAACCAGAGTTTTAGCCTGAAATTCCATACAAAATTTTTAATCTTACAAGATATATGGGGCCCTTGGTGAGATTTCCCTAATGGCCTAGACCAGTATTTGGCACATTATGGAACATTCACCACCAGCCTCATAATTACCTGGAGAACTAGTTGAAATAAAGATTGCCAGCTCTCCCACAAAGCTAGGAAATTAGGATGATGAGGCCAGAATTATGCATTTCCCATAATTCGCAATTAGTGAGCATTTCTTGCCTAGCCTAAAAGCAATTTGGTCCCCTTTCTTTTAGGATCTTATCCTTACTTTGGTCTTGTAACTTCCAAACTGAGTAGGGGACAGGCAGGGGGTTCTGGAGAAAGAAGAGACCCAGCCAAGTAAACAATATTGAGTCTGAAAATTAAAAAAAATTACTTTATTATGGACAAATAGTGCAAGGAGAAAAAAGAAAATGAGTCGAATTTTTGGAAAAGTAATGAAATCTTGTGAGAAGAGATAATAGTTGAAGTCAAAGGCAAACTAAAATATAGCATGAGTTTAAACAATTGATGTTAAAGACAGAAGTGGGGACCCATACCTGGAGAGAAGAAAATATAATCCTACCACACTCTTTTCCCCAAGATTGAGCTAAACTTAGTCAGTACAGTTTATTGGTTTTCAACTCTGAGGGTCAAGCTGTAGATAAAACATAGGACACTTTGCTGTGATCACATAACAAAATGTAAATATTAACAGCACAAACAAAACAAACATGTTATTGACAGAAGGTGAGTTGTATAAGGGGAAAGGAAAGGCAGAGAACTGTTTGTGGGGGCACAAATAGTTTCATGCAGAGCGAAAATGATGAGATTAGGATGAAAGTTTGTACTATAAGTGATAATAGCTAATATTTCTTGAGTGCTTCTGTGTGTTGGACATTAAAGGTTGGAAATGCATTATTATTTGCATCATCACAAGCAATCCCATGTAATGGGTTTTATCCATTTCCTCAGTTTACAGGTGAGGAAACAGAGGCACAGGAAATTTATGTAAAATTAGTCAGCATTATAAGCCAGTAGACTGAAGAACATGGATTCGAAGAAGTATGAATTTTTAAAATTAAAATTAGTCCCTGGTAATACTGGCAGAAAGAAGGTATGGATTTCAACCCTGCTTCTAGGAGGCAGTTGTGACTACAAAGGGCAGGAGATTCTCTGAAGCCAAGGGGCAGAAGTTTTGATCCTCTGAAAGTGTGACAAACAACTTAGAGTAAATGAATCAGGCAGCAGGGTGCCTGGAGGAGTCTGGCAACCTCTCTGTGATGATGTTCTTTGTTTTTACAGGGCTGATCTCATAAATGCTGCACTAGGCTTAGTGCTGTGCATTTTTAGGCTGAGTTATCATATTTTTCCATGTGTGTACTTCATAAAAGAAAGCACTTTTGTGCTCCCTCTAAAATAGCGATCTCCCTATTTGAATTGCCTGGTGAAGGTATTCAAAGTACTATTGCTTAAGGAACTTCTTAAGCATACATAATGTATTCTCTATCTCTATCTGTCATCTATATACTGATGTATCTATCATCATCTCTGTACTTACCTATCTGTATTAGTCTGCTCAGGCTGCTGTAACAAAAATATCATAGACTGGGTGGCTTAAACAACAGATATTTCACACAGTCCTGGAGTCTGAGAAGTCCAGGATCAAGGCAGAGCCAGTTCCTGGTTAGAACCCTTTTTTGGGGGCTTGCAGACAGCCACCTTCTTGCTGTGTCCTCACATGGTGAAGAGAGAAAGCTCTAGTGTATCTTCCTCTTCTTGTAGGAGCTAATCCCGCTATGGCAGCTCCACCTTCATGATCTCTTCTAAAACTAATTACCTCCTAAAGGCTCCACCTCCAAATACTATTGTACATTTGGGGATAGGGTTTCAACATATGAATTTGGGGAGGGACACACACAAATTCAGTCCGTAACTCTATCTATCTATTCCATCCATTCATCCAGTCTGTCTATCTGTCTATCTGTTTTTATATATAGAGCAGTAACAATGGCTTATAAGTCACTTCCCTACATTACTTTATCTTTCCAAAAATCAGGTAAATAAGCCATAAAGCACTGAGTTCACTGAAACATTTGAAGGTTGAATCAACTCTTTGTGATGATGCAGCCAATAAATGGTGATGCCAGAAATTCAACCAACATCTCTGTTCTCCTTTCCTCCTTCCCTACCTCTCACTTGCTGACTCTATTGCAACCACATTATTTATAAGCTATTCCCTGAGGACATTGGCATCCTTCCTCTGGGCCTTGGAGAGATTACTCCCGTGATCTGGAATGCTTTTCCCTCAGGTATCTGTCTCACTTGCCTCTAGACTGTTCACATCCCACCTTCCCAGTGAGGCTTACCCTGTCTGCCATGTAACCTGAAAGCCTTACCTCTCTCTGCCCGTAGTCTCAGTTCACCATACACTTCTTAATCTCCACATTATTTGTTACTGGCTAACCTGCCGGGTAAGTTACCTACGCTTCTGTTCTCCCTTCCAACTAGAAGACGGACTCCACAGAGTCAGGAAATTTGCACTCATTAAGTATAGTGGAGGCCCAGCAGAACTCGAGCGTCAGCCAGAAATGGGCGTGGTTACAACTTTTGTGATTTGATGTTTTAGTGGATCCCCTCAGAGCCAAGCCAGTCGTTAAAGGGGATCTTTTCTGATATTTTAAGCAGCATGATAAATTTGAGGTAAACTTAAATTTTCAGTAATTATAAAGAAGCCATAAACTATTTTTCCTTTGTTTCTCCAGACATAAGAACCTTGATGCCAAATCCATCCTCTCTGGGTGAAGTGGCAATGTGTGAGGATGACTGGTCTAAATTGAATAAAAAGATGCACAGAAAGGACATTTAAACATTTAAAAAAATCTAAAATCGTAAAGTGTAGTTCCATGTCACACATTGGAGTTTATCTAGCCTCCGGTGAGGTCAGAGTGGTAGAGGGGAGAAAGACATGTAGAGAGGCAAGGGTGAGTCACTGCATCTCTCCCTTTGGACCTTAGTTCCTCCTGGATTGTCATTCCTTACACTCAAAACACAGATTTCAAGAGTCAGCATGTGCAGTCCTGATCCCAGTCATTAGGATTCTGCAGTGTTAAGTCTGGCTCAACACATCACCACTCATGTATGTCAGTTCTTCCTCTACAGCTGAGTCAATGAGCAAAGACACATAAGCAGAAGCAGATTAACAAGAACAAGGTTTATTTACATATATATGTACATAAGCTGGGAAAGATAAGGGCCCACTGAGGCAAATGGGTAGGGGGAAAGGAAGCACCTAAAAACAGCATGTCCCAAGATAAAAGAAAACTGTCCAAGAGCTTGGGTTGGCCAAGTTAACAGTCAAGCCGGGACGGCACCATGGATGATACATGCAGCTCTCTTGTGTTCTTCAAATTCTGTTCTCCAAACTGGAACTTCTTGAGTAGTTAAGTAGTAAGTAATTCTGAACTGGGCTCATGTACTACTCAGCGTCCAACACACAACCTACACACAGATGCACATATAATACACACACACTGCTGAGTTGTGTTCCTCTGGCTTGCTGCAGGCAGAGAGCAGATTCAACTTCACTTAAAGGGGCTTGAGCCGCTGTCCAGTGGAGCAAAGTCCATTCACGGTTACACAGTTTTCAGAATAAGATCTCCTTAATTTTTGAGTTTCCTCATAGAAGAAAGGAATTGGTCATTGGTTTCTTTGACTCTTCTTCTCTCTCAGTCAAAGAGATTAAAAGTTCCTCTCTAAGTATGCGTGGTGCTGACCCCCATTGCACCACCTGGGTTTTGTCCAGGGGTGCCCCAGTTGCTCTGTATGAACAGGGGACCATAAGTGTATCCAGTCACAGCAGGTATAGTGCTGTTCCTCACTGCATTCCCTGTGCTCTGCATCGATGGGTTCCAAGTCTGATGGGAGGTGTTGATACTGGGGCCTGCCATCAAGGGTGCAGGTGCGATATTGTTCCCTCCAGCTGCACTACCTGGGTATTGGCCAGGTGGGCCCCAGCTATACTGATGAAAAGCAGTAATACCAGGTCCTCCAGCCATGGGAATGATGTCGTCCCTTCTTGTACCCCAGCTTGAACTCTGGACAGGTTGGCCCCAGGTGTTTGGAAAGCGGGTAGAACTAGAAGTGTGTCTAACCCCAGGGGTGGTGCAGGCACTTGCAGTTCCAACAGATGTGGTGTGGTTCTGATGAAAAGTGGAGATAGACCTGTCCCTTGACACACATTCCTTCTTCGGGATAATGGATCTTTTAAGTGTAGACCATTCTCTGTGTCCTGGTGGGTCCCAGGTGCCATTATGGAAAGTGGAAACACTAGGACTTCCAGTCATGGGGATGGTGTTGTTCCCTGCCATGACTGTACCATTTGTGTTTGCCACAGGTATGCCCCAGGTGTTTGGACTTAAGGTAGAATCAGGTATGTGTCCAAATACTGGGATGGTGCTTGGTCCTCCTACCACAGCAGCCATAGTGTGGCTAGATGGACCCCAGACTATTTGGCCCGAGGAGGAACAGAAGTGGTGGAGTGCCCTGCTCAGTCCTGCCCTAAAGTTGAGTGGTTGGGATACCCCTGAATTAGTGGGGTGTAGGGCAGACATATTGACTCCAGAGCTCCCACTATCCATAGGGGTTGTAGGTCCCTTAAACATAGGTTGGCCTGGTGTGGTATTGGCAGACGGCGAGCTACTGGTGCTAGGCATCTTTGTGGCAACTCCAAAGCCAGCAGTAGTGGATGCACCGCTGGGGAGAATATTCAGGTTGCCACCAGAAGCTGGCGCGGTGTTCACAGTGGTGGCAGATGGGGAACCTAGCAAACTTGGTTGCATCCTGCTGCCTCTGGCTGGCCAGCCTGCAGGATAAGTTAGGCCTTTATTTTGTGCTGGGGCCACTGGGTTTCCAGTGGTTTTAGACACCTGCCTATTACAGGCACTAACTGTGATCTGAGAGCTAATTACTGAGTCTGAGAGAGGCTTGGAATGTGTAGCCTGTCTTTTGACTGACTTTGCAGGTAAACCAGGAGAGGCATAGGCTACAGCATTGCTGCCACTGGGTGGTGTGTTATCAGAACCAGGAACAGTCATGTGAAATGGGTAATGATTATCTCTGGAGATAGGGGGAGAGTGGAAAATAACAGCCTGGGAAGGAGGCGTGGTATCCATAGCATTGATGTCAAAAGCTGGCATGACATTTGCAGAGGTGCTGCCTGTTGGAGCGTAGATGGCCCCAGAAGCTGAAAGAGGGAGACTGGTGACAACAGGAGCCCTAGGGAGAGAGGCTCTCTGCTGCCCGTCAGAGGTCCTGAGTGTAGGCTGCGAGTTGGGATGGGGGACCATTTGCACAGGTGGGCTGGTGGAGACTGGTACCCCTTCAGGATGCCTCTGCTCCACCCTAAAAATGACAGCGTAGGAAGGGGGAGTGGTGTCCATGTCCGTGACTCCAGGATCTGAAGTAGGCTGGGAGGTCAAACCTGTTGATGCCAGGGCTGTGATGGTAGAAGGGACTGCCACAGAAGTGGTGGGAATGGTGGAAGGGACTGGAAGAGAGGTAGGTAAGAACAAAGGAGGGGGAGAATCTATACACATAGGTGTTGGGGATTCGTTTTTGTAGGAGGACGGTTGGAAGAAGGTTGAGGTGCTAGGACATGTGGGGAGGTTAGAAGTAAGAGATGATGTAGCTACAACTGAATGAGAGGGACCCGAAGGAGGAAGAGAATCAGCAGGAGTAGCTAGAGGAGTGGAGCTAGGGACTGTGTGTCTAGATGTGGGGGAAGGTGGGGGGACAGACTGTATGGGGGCCCTGGAAGATATGTCAGCCAAGTGGGTGGTAGTAGCAGGGACCTTCAGAGTGAAAGTAGCCACCTGCGAGGCAGGTAGGGAGAAGGAAGGGGCAGGCTGAGGGGCACTGCAGTCTTCCATGACCTTCCTTGTGTTCTCGAAGCTCTTGTTCCACTGACACTCAGTGTTCTTCTCCAGGGGGCCCAGATTTTTGTCAAGAGCCAAGCAAGGAAGTTTAGGAGGAGGGGGCAGCTCACCTCGACCCCACTGCAGTTGTAGCGGCGGCGGCAGCGGCAGCGGCAGCGGCAGCAGCAGCGGCAGGGGAATTTTCCGCTTGCAGCGTCTACTGCTGGCAGATACCGCTGAAGAAGTGCTTCTTGATGGCATGTCTGAAGGCTTTTCACGCTGCATCTCCTTCCCAGAAGTTGGTGAGCCTGGTGAATTCGGCCGGTGGTCTTCACCCAGCCCTTTTGTTGGCCTCTTCGGCAGCAGGGAGCAGCATGTGGTTGGGGCAGAGAACACTGCGGCATCGGGATCAGGCTTTGAAGGAGGCAGGACATCTCCAACAGGGCTGTCTGAGCCGGTGACATGTCTTTCTGGGGAAAAATTCCTCAGAGACGTCTGGGTGTTCTCACTCAAGTTGCCTTCTGGGTGCCTGGGAAGGAAGTCCAGAGGCTCAGGACTGCACTTGGGAAACGTGGCGACTCCATTGGTCTCCAGGGGCCTAGATGTCAACGGCATATACCCTTTGCTGTGGGGTTCTCTGTGCCAGTCGTCCTGTCGTTTGGTCTTCATGTGAGCCTCCTCCTCCTTTGCTGCTCCTTTTCTGGGCTCTTCTTGGACCTTCACCTCACTCTTCTTTGGGCGAGGAAGCAGAATGTGACTGCATGGTACTGGCTTTCTAGCCTTGACTACCTGCTCAGGTGGTGAACGCGGGAGAGAAAATTTGCCCTTCATAGGAGGGATCCTGGTGGTACTTCGGTGCCCGAACATCATGGAATTACGGGCAGACAGCACGGGCTTCTTTGGCGGGTCCCCCCACCTCACCAAGGGAAGCATCCCCACTTGGGGGTACCCGGCCTGCCTGATGAGATACTGCATTTTTGGCATGATGTTAAAGGTAGCTGGTAAAGGTGCTCGAGGCTGATGGATCGGCCTGTGCCAAGGATGGAAGGCAGGCGCTGGAGCAGCAGGGTGGTCCCGGCCTGGTGTGGCAGCACCCCTGGCAGGAAGAACCTACGGACGAGGGCGATAGCCAAGCTGGGGCTAGTGGCGGGGCGCGGCAAGAAATTTACAAAGGAAATTTCCCATGTGGAACCAGTTGTGCGCGAAACGAACCCGAGAATTAAGTGTGAAACTGGGAGAGCTTCTCCCTAGTTTCTGACTCCTCTCGAGGTCAAGCGGGCAATGGACGGCTCAGCCTGGTGCTTGTGACATGTCTATGGTACACGTCACAGAGAAAGGGCAAGCCAGGGAGTGCGCAAGCTCAGCACATGATGGAGCGGCGTCAAAGGGCAAAGGGCGTGGCCGCAGCAGCGGGCCCCTTCTGGACTTTCAAGCACCTGGGACTTCTCGCTGTGGGTGCCAGGTGTTTGGCACCAGATGGGCCCCCATATGGAGACTGTCCAGACTGTGCAGGTTTTCTTTTCCAGAGCTCACTCTGCCTGGGCACCTGCTCTGCAGGCTCCTCGGCGCCTGTGTGTGTATCGCATGCCCTCCCCGCCACGCCCGCCCCGGGAGCCTCAAAGGCCGGAGCTTGATCAAAGCAGAGCACAGGAGCCCCCCAGATCCTGCTAGAGTGTGGCCAACCCTCTCTCAAAACCTCCCCAGAATATCTGCGAGGTCTGGAGCTGGGGAGCGCCTTTTCCACGGCTGGCAGGAAAGGTTTCTGAGCGGGGGAAGCGAAGCCCTGACCTGACCGAATGCAGCATCCCATGACATCCCTTCCTAGCAGGTAGGTTCTTTCTTCACTTCTTTTTAGAAATTTAGTAAAACAGCGCTTAGACCGTAGACTGTTCTTCCGGCCATGCATATGGTAGTGGCTTAGCCAAGATTCGAGCCAAGCTTATGCAGTTCCAGAGCTCCTGCTCTGGACTGTGGTGCCTCCTTATCATATATGCTTCATGTGTTACAGTTTTTTGGTTGTTGTCATTGTTTGTAGATCTTATGGTACTCAGTTCTAAGTGCCATACCTATGGTGAGCTCTTGCACTGCCCAGTAGGAGGTGGTCTTATGTTCAGCTCATAGATTGATCATCCACCACACTGGGCTCTGGTCTCAGGAGATACAGGTCAAGGACCACCAACTGTCAGCATAGCACCAGTTAAAGCCAGCTGGTAAAGGTGCTTTTCTAATTGAGCCTTAAAGACCAAATTTCCCTTTTGGTCTAGTTTGAGGGATCCAAATATGTGAAAATTATATTCTAGGTAAATTGTGGGCTATCTTGAAATAAATTCACTAGTGGATTATTCTATATGGATTAGAAGCCAGTTTCTCTGACCTTCCTGAAATATGCCCAGTTAAGTATCTCATTCATGTCTAGAAAGCAAAAATATCATTTATTGAATCTTAATAGTGGAGCAATGTATTGGATTAAAGCATGATCAATACAATTTGGTCATTGTGAGCATGCCAACTGGGTCCATTCACTACACATATGTAACTCTACAGATTCTTATATCCAAGAGAGCAGACATCTTGGGTGTCTAGGATAAGGAAAATATACATTATTGTCCAGGAGCTGGAATTTCAGTATGACAGGAAAGAACTGAAAAATCCTGGCCTACACATAGCTTTACCTAGTTTGAATCTTGTTTCTTTGGCTTTCTTCACTGGAGTGTTTTCTCTTTCCTGGGGCTGATGTTGTGTGCTGTGTGTGTATCTGGCATGTGACGTGTAGAAGTCTCAGAACCCAGAATTATATCTATCAGCAAAATTTTTAACTATATATTTTAGTTTAAAAATCTATTTAAAATAACATTAGAGATAATATATATATTACAAAATTAGTTTAATCCTCTGTTCATGAGTTTTTTTTTATAGTATGTCAAAGCAAACTTGGGCTTCCATCCCCAATAAACTTTGAGTTTGGTAGGACACAAAAGGTTTTATTCAGACCTAAATTCTGTTTGGAAAAGGAGAAATATCATAAGCCCTTTCTAACCTCTCCAGGAGCATAGATGATTTACAGTTGTGGCATTTAACCGTAACTCCTTGATTTCATATGAGAAGAGTTCAATAAGGAACAATCTCTTGATTTTTGTTTGAACAAAAATAGCAAGCTGGTACAAATTTCTTAAGGAACTTTAAAAAATAATGATCACATGTCAGACTTATTTGTAAACAATAAGTTACAGTCATGTTATTTCCATTTTTTTCCCCAAAGAGGAAAAATTTCATTGAACATTTGAGGAGTGTTGAGACTTCAGGACAAAAAAAGGGAATTTAGATAAAGATATCCCAGAAAAATTTACCTCTTGATTTCCCTGTCAAATGGGAACAGATGGACAGGATGCTCTCTTAAAATACAGAATGTTCTCTTATTGTCCTTGTAAGGTGGAATAATATTGGCTAACAGGTGGGTATTCAGAAATAATTTGGCTTGACAGAAGCAAACACATTGACACAGAATTTGTCAAGGCAAAATATTTTCTAAAAAATAATTTAATAATTAATAAAAATATTTAAATAATAGGATTTTATGGTTGCCAGGTAAGATTAGTTCTGATTTGAAAATTTGTAAAACACCCATCCCCAGTTATATCAAATGAACCTAGGGGTGGGCATCCCTGGATGAAATTTGTAGTGACAATAAATTAAAACTGACAATCTGTAGTTGCACACCCTCATTCCCTGTTTTCTTGTCTTACTTATCAACAACCCACGGTAATCACTGAGTTAACATGGGGGCAGGCAAAGTGGTCCCTAGAGCTCGTTAAATGAACTTTTTCTTCCTAAAATAACTTATCTTCTTGTTTTCAGCCTCTTTTCTTTCTTCTGCCTATACTTCTTCTCTAACTGGGGCTCAGCCAAAGCCGACTGGCTTTGTGCAAACCCTTCTTGGGGCAGTCTTTTCTTCATAATTTGATTGGTTGCTCCTCTGTTTCATTGTTTTGCCTTCTAGAAATGCGTTGAAATCTTTCTGTGGTTGATGACCTCCACAATCTCTTGGCTTTTACTGGTTTGTTAATTTTGGTATGTCTACACTTTTATTTAAATATGGTTTCAGGAGGAACAGAAAGTAAATATATTTCCTAGTCTGCCATCTTGAGCTGAAAATCCTTGTTGATTTTTGCACACAACATTCCCATAGAAAAAAACTCACCCTTGGCATTAACAGACATAACACTTAAGATTTCAGCTTTTCTTGAGCAATCACTGAGGATTTAGGATGTGGTAATTCCTAATGAAAAAATAAAAACTATCTCATAGAGTTGATTTGAAGATTAAATTTGATAATGAACATGAACATGCTTTGTAAAGTTGAAAGGTCTATAAAATGTCTTTTGTTGTTTTATTTGTTGAGATTTCAACTTTACCTGACTGTTATTTATGACCTTGCTTATGTAAGAAAATGCCTCTGGTTTATTGTTTTGTTTTGAAAAGCAGATTGTATTTTTCAAAAGCTCAGTGGGAATGGCATCATTTGTGAAGGTTAAGCTCAGGTGAAGCCATAAATGGTTCTTGATACCTGTCACTTTACAATATTTTCAGCAACTCACTTACTTATGTATTCTCTTTCTAGTTTTGTTGAGAGCCTACTACCAGCCAGATGCTTTATATCAGGTATTAGAAAACATTTTCCAGATTTTACACATCTTAGGCTTTGTGGGCCATACACAGTTTCTGTAGCTCCTCCTCCTCTTTCCCCTTCAATATTTCAAAATGCAAGAACCATTATTAGCTCACAGGTCATACAAAACCAGACTGAGAGCCTGGTTTGATCTGTGGGCCATTATTTGTCAACCCTTGTTCTATGTCTTCACTGAACAGAAGGCACGTCTTTGAGTAAATCACTTCTTTGAGTTAACTATTGGTCTTCCTGAGCTTGTCCTTAACTCTCCTACAGTCTCTGATCACATGGCATCCAGAGAGATCCTGTTAAAACATAAATCAGATCATATCACTCATATCTCTTCAATGGCTTACTCAAAACAAAAAGCAGTCCTCAAAGTACCTCCACAGCCCTAGAAATCTGGGCCTCTGTTTCTTTTCTGACTTCATTCCCTTCTCCTCTCTACTTTGCTTGCTCTCTTTTCTACACACTGACATCTTTTCTATTCTTTGAGTACTCCAGGCACAGTCTTGCCTCCTTGTCTTTCCATATGACTGTTCCCTCTGCTTGTAACATTCATTCTCAAAATATGCACCCTGCTCTCTCCCACAACCACCTTAGGTTCCTTCTTAAATTTTATCTTCCCCATAAAGCCTGCATTGATCACTTAATTTCAGAACACAGCCTCCTCCTCCCAACTAACAATATCTCCCTTCCCTGCTTTCTGCTTTTCTTTAGCATTTACCTAATATTCTAGTTATTTTATCCATTTAATTTTTATTTATATATCTATACTTATGTTTTTAGATTTGCTTATTTACCTCAACTAGCGAGAGGGTATATTCATCTGTGTTGATCACTGCTATGTTTCCTGACAATACCCATAAAACATACTGAAGAATGGTACTTAAAATTTGGTTAAGGGATCAACATATTTTCTTGGCTGAATGAATAAATGTATGCATAAATTAATGAACAGATCTCTAGGGATTTTGAATTGAGGACTGATGAGAAGAGGAAGGCAAATGGTTGGGACAGGGTACTATAAAAAGTAGTATTTGGAGTTCTCTGATAGCTATCCTAATAGGTACATTTTTGTTAATTTCAGTTAAAACTACTGAGAGAGCTGGGAACTTAGGGGCACACATCACCGAGATTTTTATAGTGAATTCTGTAGAGTTCTTTTTAAGTGTATTCAGATATTGAAAATACATGCATGCATATATACCTTTGTTACTTTATTTAGTGCTTTACAAGAGCCCTTCAACAGAGGGGTAGTAGCAAGTATGCCTCCTTTATGATGTGCTTAATTTGCTCAAGGTTACATCATAATTTG